AAAATTTGTTGTAGACATTTCACTGTCAGCGCTTTGAAAAAGTTGTCAAAAAAAAACACACCTACAACAACTTTTGGAAAGAAGTTTGTATAGATTTATTCGGTGATTATAATTTTGATCACGCCATTTATTCAACGGATATTGTTGGATAACAATTTTGTAAAATTCAGGACATTAATTGTCATTAACAATTATAATTAAGAATTAGATTGTTACATAAAATTGTTTCGGTCAATTTAAGAGAGGGGAGTAGAAGAACTGAGCCTAAGCCAGCTAAAGAGCCAATCACGGCACAGAATTTGTAAAAATTTGCCCCACTGGTACTGCGACGTCTCCAGTTTTGGCGTCATTATTTAAGTAAAAGTAGGGTGAAAGAAGGGAACTTTTTAACTTTGCCTTGTGGGGGTTAAAAGCCGTTTGCGTAGTTCGTGAAAAAGAAAAATTGTGTATTAACTTCAGTTAGTTAAAATTTGGTGCTAGTGAAGTTGCCCAGAGAGTTCTTTCGTTGCAGTACAACAATATTCACAGGTAACTCAAAAATCGTCAATCCTGAACACTTAGAAATGTTTAGTCATTTTTTTAAAAACCAAAAATCAACATACTCCAGTAGGTCAAAAATAATGTTGATAACATGTTTTGTTGAATTAAGCCTTGAGCGGAAAAGAATTGCCATTATCCAAATTTAAAGGTGTTATTTCTTTCTGTTGTTCACATTCAAAATTTAGGAACATAAAGAAAATTTATCTGAACTTTATTTGGTGGCGAAATTACTTGCTGAGGTTTTATAACATGAACGAAAAATCTAAAATGAACAGTTAAGAAATTGATAAAAAAAAGGCGTTTCACCACAAATAGAATATAAAAAAAGGGGGGACGAATTTAATTACATACAAATTTTGGACGCATAATGAGTAAATTTCATATGCGTCCATTCCGTAAATTAATTGGGACTGTTTTTTTTTAATGTGGAACGTCTTTGCTAATTGTTGACTGCCTAAAATTACGAGCTCGTTTGCCACCGCGGGATACACAAAACAAAACACACACACCCACAAAAAAAACACAGAAACAAAAAAAAGGAAGTTGTTTCACAAAAAATCAACAGAGCGCTAGAAACGTCCTATAACTATAGAAGCCCCGTTTCCCGCTCAAAACATCATTTTTTTTATGTAAGCGAGTCATTCGTTAATAAACTGGCCAATTCGCCGATGGTGCCGTTGTTACAACCCCATCGCAATTCGCTGAGGCGCATCCACATAAATCGCCGGTTCTTTTGGTGCGCCTTGTTCCCAGAAATGTTTTTTAATGATCACCTGGCGAGATAGCATGTGAGCGTAAGGCTTTGCGTAAACGTAACTTTTGCTCAGCGTAATTAATACTCGATTTTGCTCGCGTTGCTAGGGCGAAACTAAACTTGTGGCATGAATTAACCCTTTCATAAGCGCTAAGCGAAAGCGAAATATTGTCGACAGCGTAGCTTCGGATGATAGGGCGTAGTACTTGTGGCAGCGTCACGATTTGATGTAATTAGAGAAATTTATTATTTTGTTGGTCGTTTGCATTTCTCTCGTAGCGGAGCGAACTGAATGTACCTGAAATAAATAAGACAATTAACTTAAAGAAATTATAAGAATAAAAAAAAAGACTCTTAACTAGAGAAAGAAACTCGTAAATAGTAAATAATAATAGTTAGTAATACTTTGTTTTAAAAATATTCAAACACTAACTCTCTGAAAATTGTTTTAGAAAATTCTTTTAGTAACACAGTTGACCTCTCTTTGTTGACCAAATCATAGTTAGGGGGTACAATATTGATGTATTGCCTCTGTTATTTTATTATCTTTAATTTCCCAAACTGTGACTGGAAATATGTTGATTTCTGTGATTTTATTAATAAATTTGTAAATTGAATATAATTCTGCGTTGTCTTTAAAACATGTTCTCCCATGCGTTATGACACTACTTTATAAAACAAATCTGGAAATTTAGTGGTAAATTTTGCGAAAGGAAAAGAACTAAAACATTAGTGCAATTGTTATTAATAAGACACAACGTAGGGTAAGTGAAATTTTATTTTATTTTATTTAATTTGCGACAAATGACGGTCTAATCACTATAACGTTACTATATTCGATTTTTTTCTGGTGTCTCCGTAAAAGAGGGGACTTGGATAATTTTGTTTTTCTTAATTTTTTGAAGAATAATTTGTTATCTCACCACAGTGCCAGTCAGCGGCGAAGAAAGGCTGTCGTACCAATTCCTTAAACAAAATGTCACCAAAAATTGAATTGGAAGAAAGTCTCTTATTGCATGATTTTGCGTGCTGGAAAGTGTCATTCCAATGTCAAAACAGAGAATAGTAATTTACACAACTATTTCGGGATAGCCTCCTTCCCCTATGAACGCTTGTTTGCGGCACGACCGAAGGGAGTGCTGCATTTGCGTGAATGCGGAAAGCAGGCATCCAAACGTGTTGTGTACAATATTTTTTTCAACGAATACGAACTGTAACTTGAACATTTTGAAATTTTTTTTAGTCTGCAGTAAACATTGAGTTATTATTAAATATAAAATAATCACTCATCAACTTTGGAGAACACAACCTGAAAGGTATGAAAATATGTAACATCGTGGTCTAGAAATGCTAGGCAAACTTGGAAACCAGCCAAATAATTCCACAATTGTACCATCTGACATCCAACGGACTGACTACCTGAGAATTAAGCGGGATATACCATGATAATTTTGTTGCGAATTAGTTCCATTCAACAAAAGTGCACAAATGTGTTTCTAGCTAGATGTGCAGACTACAAAAACCGTTAAAATTTTTATCCAAGGACGTACCTAACACAAGGTTTATTTTATATGTTAAAAAGAGATTATTTCGAATTTAACTAGTCAGGGGAATTATTGATTTTGTAGGGTTGTCATGTTATTTTATTATTATTATCTATCGTTAGCCAACAGGCTAAACCATTTACAGGTTAAGTATATCGAACATACTATATGAAAACAAGGAAGTCTTAGATTATATGTATTGTTACCTTCGATTATATACCCGAAAATAAAATAAAACTAAACATTCGTAACTCAGGAACTATATTAACAAATAGGAAAACTTCACAAAACCATCTTACAATGCTCTCTAAAGTACTAGTTCGAGACGCGCTCTAGTAGCTGCGCGTAACACTCCCATTTGGATACTACAACTGGCCTCAGGTGGCATCCGGTTATACCTAGAAATAACATTAGCAACAAAAACATGTCTTTTTCTTACGACAGCGCGGCCCATCCGTTGCTGTCGGTTGAGGTTGTTCACGGCATTCCTCAACTCTAAAGTTCCGATGGGATGATGGTTCATGAGCTGTTGGTTCTTCGAGCGAGAGAGGTGTACGTTCTTCTTTCCGTGGACGACCTCTTCTCCGCAGCGGCGCGAATCATCTTCGGCGCCTTCTCGTGATACGAAAAGTTTCAGGGCGGAGACGTAATACTTGCCGAGCGGCTGTGGGGCGCGTACTTGGCAGCGATAACGTACAAAACGGGGCTCTTCTTTTCAATGATAGCATAAGGCCCATGTATGAGCTTGATGCTCGGCTAAGTGTGTGCACATCGACAAGTACTCTGTCACCGATTTCATACGCAGGGCTAAGGTGTCGATACTGGTCTGCGTACCTTTTTGCTCGGTCCTGTGGACCATCAGGCCTATCGCGGGCATCTTTAAGGGTGTCGGACATTCGTTTGAGATGTGGCGTAATATTCGCCACGAAATTTTCATTTTCGACTATCGATCGAAGGTCGTGGTGAACTTCCAGTGCAGTCCGCATTTCGCGCCCGAAACTCAGGTATGTGGGAGTTTTACCGACGGCGGCGTGCACGGCATTGTTCATCGCGAACTGAACTGTTGGTAACGTGACACTTCACGTATTATGTTCCGGTTCCACTTAGATCGATAACTGCACGGTTGTCTGTTAGTTCCCGATTTCGTCAGAGGCAGAGGGTTCGCGGCCGGATATTACAACGGGGTTAGTATTTGTATAAACCCAAGACAGTAGGTGATTTGCTGTATAATTTCGCCCGCGAATTAAGTGCCTTTGTCACTGATCAGTGATCACTTTTCGCGGCATTCGATACCTAAGAATCACCTTGTCGACCTTGGCGTAAGTCCCTGTCGTTGTTTTTTCTGGAGCAAAGACTTCCAACTAATGGCGGTGCCTTCAACAGCAAAGACCCACCTTTTACCATCGAGAGTCATCGCTAGTAGTCCATATAGCTCCATCGCGAGGCTTTCGAAGCGCTGGGCCATTACGAGCATTTGCAGAAGCCTTGCAGGCTTCATGTCGCTAGCCTTATGGCGTTGGCATTAAACACACCTGTGGAGATGATGACGAACATCTCTCCTCAGGGTGGACCAAAAATATCGTAGCGTTACCCTGTCGATCCTCCTCTCAACGCCAGGGTGACCAGCCAGGGCAGAATCATGGCATTCCCCCAGTACTTCGCTAACTTGCTGCTTGGAAATCACAAGTTGGCATTTGCACGACTCTGAATCGGGGTTATACCGATATAGCAACCTGCCTAACATTACGTAACCTCTACCTAGCCATCCTTTAAGTTCCTCCTCGTTGTTACCTTGGATGTCCATTATTGTCTTCTCAGTTCTCAATAAACTCATCTTTCAACTGCTCAGTATGCAGTTGACTTGTAGACACTCTGGGGAGGATAACCTCTACGGGACACATTAATATCAACATCATTAAGAGGTGGGCGCGATAATGTATCGGCCACGATGTTACTCTTTCCTGGGATATAATTAACTTGCAGGTTGCAGGTCGAATGACTCTTTAGACATTCTTTGTTGCTTCCAACAAAGCCCATCGCGCCAATCTTCCCGAGAACGACTTCAGAGTCATCAACCGTTTGTGTGTTTGATGGTCGGACGCAACAACCACTCTCGCTCCCTCCAAGTAGCTTCGAAATTTTTGCACCTCAAACACAATGGCCTAGGCTTTTCGGTCCATAGTTGTGTAATTGCGTTCAGGAGCCGTCTTCCTCCCGCAACAAGCATGCACCATTTGCGTAAGCACTGGCATCCGTCTTCAAAATATATGGTAAAGTCGGATCCCCTTGTCGGAGAAGTAGTACAGTGGCGAGTTGTTTAAGTTGCTCGAACGCCTAAACTTGGGCAGCATCCCATACGCACTGAGCTTTCCTCTTCGTCAACCGAGTAAGTGGTTCGGCGACACCTGAAAACCCTGGAATAAACCAGCTGAACCAGCTACATGTTTGCAGAAACAACATCGGCTGGTTTACGTCAACTGGCGGTGCCAGCTGAATTATAGCGGAGATCTTCACGGGATGAGGCGATATTTCCCCATTCGCGAAATGTGGCCTAGGAACTTTATTTGGGAGCAGGCGAATACGCACTTCTGCCTGTTTGCGCTCAACCTGAAAACTTTAAGTCTGTCGAAAACTAGTTGTAAATCGTTCAGATGTTGAGCAAATGTCCCCGACAACAGGATGAAATCGTTCATACATATAAGCGATATACACGTCTGGGAGTCCAGCCTTGAATCGGTCAATCAACTGCTGCAACGTCGTGAGAAAGTTCCGCATACCGAAGGACATACGTAAAAATGGATAGAGCCCGAAAAATGTCACGAATGCCGTTTTGTCCTTGTCCCCTTTCCTAATCGTAACCATTTTAAACCGGAATTGACCAAAATGCAGAGAGAATTTAGCAAAGTAGTTAGAAAAGAGCTTTGGGGTAGAACTTCGAAGGGTGAATCAAATATAACTATTAAATATAAAAATAATCTTCCTTATATTACTAAAAAAAAAATGCTAACTCTCAAAAAGAAATTCCAAAAAAGGCCTAAACTTTTATTTTCATAATGTTGGTGGACTCAGATCTAAACTGAATATTTTTTCGAAAATGGTTAATACGTGTATATATGATATTCTTATAATTTGTGAAATTTGGCTTTCTACTAATATTTTGAATAATGAATTAAATTTGATGAACTATGATATTTTTCGTGCTGACTGTAATTTGAACACAAGTAATAAGTTTAGTGGTGGGTGTATTAATTGGGTTAAACAAGATTTTCAGGTTTCAAATATTCATTGTGGTAATACAGTCGAATGTGTGTACATTCATCTGAAAAATAATAATTTTGATGTCATTATTGGTGCTATTTATATTCCCCCAGCTTCCCACATAGATGTTTATAAAGATTTCTGTAATGACCTGGATCATATTTTTAATCAGTTTCCTGATTCTTCATATTTAATCGTTGGTGACTTTAGTATGCCGCATTTGGCGTGGAATGGCAATAAAGTTAATGTTAACTCCCTTAAAGATTGTAGGGACTATTATGATTTAATTAGCTCGACTTGTGCGTATATGAATTTGAAACAGGTTAACAAAATTCCCAATAGCAGAAACACTTTTTTGGATTTAATTTTTATTAATCGACTATGATTTAGAGATTTCTGTTTCTTTAGATTCAATTCTTTCGCAAAGTATTCACCATACACCTTACTCATGGTGTATTTCTTCTAACTCTTCACCTGTGTTGTCTTCTGAAATGAGAGTTTTTGATTTTATAAGTAGGGATTATGATTTATTAAATGAGTACTATGCCTCTATCTGTTAGGATAATTATTTGGTTGGTGAGAACTTGGAGAGGAAGGTAGAGATATTTTATGAGATATTCTTATCTGGTTTTACAAAATGCATTCCCGTGAAGATTATTAAGAGCAATGTTAGCAGTTATCCTAAATGGTTCAATTTACATTTTAAAGGAACTTTGTCGTTTGAAAAGGTTGGCCCATTCTAAATATAAAAGGACTGGATTTACTGATGATTATCTGTATTTTAAATCCTTGAGATCTCCATGTAAAGAACTGAATGAACATCTTTATACTTTGTATGTAAACAAAGTTAATAACATCATCTTAAATAATCCTAAGTTTTTTTGGAAGTTTATTAAAGAGAAAAAAAAAAATAATGAAATTCCCAGTGAAATGTTTTTAGGAATGCAAAGTGCTACCAATGGACGACAAATAGCTGATCTTTTCGCTAAGTAGTCCTCTTCAGTATATGTTGAACGACTTCGAATTGAGTTTTTACCCGAAACGTCTAGATTTTTGGAAAAAAAATCAAAATTATAAAACAACATTTTGCAATTTAATTTTGAATCTGCTAACCCGAATGTTTTGAAATGTTGCAGATGTTTTAAGGCTGTAAAGAGCATCATAAATCTTTAGTCAAAATATATTTGGTTATCCCCTCCAAAAACTTGACGTCAGCTCAAAAGTTTGCCGAATAAATCCTATCTAAAATGTAGAAAATATGATGAGTCTGTACTTGTCATATATCACTCTATTAATATTTTTTGGATTTGCATATACAGGGTGACTCAAAAAAATTTAATGAAAAATTTATTTTATTGATTTACTCAGGAATTACAAAACCGAATGCTTTGAAATCTTGAAGATGTTTTAAAGTTATCATAAGCATGGTAAGTTTTTGATTAAAATGTATTTGGTCGTCCACCCTAAAAAAATTATGACATCACCACAAAATTTTGTTGAATAAATCCTATCTAAAATGTACAACATATGATGAGTCTCTTCTTGTGCTTTATCATTCTATTCATATTTTTTGGATTTGCTTATACAAAGTGACCCAAAAAATTAATGAATGCGTAAATGTATTTTACTGAATTAATCAGGAACTACAGAACCGAATATTTCGAAATCTTGCAGATGTTTTAAGAATATAAAGAGCATAATAAATTTTTACTTAAAATATATTTGGTTATTTTCTCCAAAAAACTAATGACGTCAGCTCAAAAGTTTGCCGAATAAATCCTATCTAGAATATACAAAATATGATGAGTCTGTACTTGTAATTTATCATTCCATTTTTTGAATTTGCATATACCGGATGACTCAAAAAAAATGAATGCGTAAATTTATTTTATTGGTTTATTCAGGAACTACAAAAACTGAATGCTTTAAAATCTACTGCGAAAAAAAAACATAATAGGCATGCAGTCGTCACATTTCCAACAGCGAGGGAAGTACTGTCTAAACTCTTTAGACCAATTTTTATAATATACAATCAATCGTTGATTTTGGATATATGTTAAGCAACCATCATTTAACTCGTGTCTTTGAGATAAATGATTTAGGGGTCATATTTGATTCCGCCCGTACATTCAAAAAACATTGTTACTATACTGTTTTCAAGGCCCTAACCATGTGGGGTTTAATTTGGCGGCATTGTAAGGATTTATCTAAGACAGCGGTGAAAACGTTAAGATTCCTCATTGGTTCGGTCTCGTCTTGAGTACTGCTCAGCTGTATGGTCTCCAATTTATATCGTTGTTTTGGAGTTGATGAAGAGAGTCCAGAAGAAGTTTTTGCGTAAATTGGAATTTAAACTTGGAAGAAGTCATGTGAAGAGTGATTATAGATGGATAATGCATCATTTCAATATTCAAATTTTAGAGTCCAGAAGACGTGTTTTTGATGCTTGCTTCTTGCATGGTATTATTAATGGACTTATTGATACTTCAAATCTATTGTCTAAGTTGACATTTATAATAATAATAATAATAATAATAGTAATATTTATTGTCCAACAGAAATTACATTCCATTTAAACGACAAAAATAACAAAAATATAAATAACTAAATATAATATTATTAATAATAATAATAATAAAGTTTTTTGCCCAACAGAACTACACATTCCAGTTACAGGACAATTATAAAGAATATAAAAACAATGACAACAATTCAGAATCAAAGAAAATAACAAATTAATAAATTAAATGCATAAATAATCAAAGATCTCAATATAATGAAACATAAGAACAGTAACGTAACTTAAATAAAATTGAAATAGAAATAAATGAATGAATGAATAAATTAAAGCCGAAATAAATACCTACATTTATTTGCAATATCAAAAATCAAACACACAATCTGTAAATCTAGGCATATACATACATCAAGAAGTAAATAACTTAAATTAAAATACAACAGTATGAAAACCATATCTGAAAGTAAAGTGTAAACTACTTAAGCTTAATTCTAACAGTGTCTTTTATAGACTTAAGGCTAGTGTTAAAAATGTCAAAATCGGAATTCATTTCTATTTCTTTTAAAAAATACCTTATTACATATATCGGTGCTTTTCTCCCAAAATTAGTTCTAGCAATGCTAGTGTATAATGTTCAGAGCTGTTCAGTACTTCAAGTAAAAGTACTTGAAGTAATACTTCAAGTACTTTAAGTACTTCAAGTACTTTACTTGAAGTACTTTTATATTTAGGTACTTGGTACTTGGTACTTGGAGTATTTCTAAAATGTACTTGAGTTTAGTACTTGATTTTGCCAAGTACTTTACTCCAAGTACTTCACTCAGTATTTTAAATACTCTTGAATTACTTGAAATATGAAAGTGGAAATTTCAAATACTTTAGTCTCTATTTTACGAAGTTTTCACATGTCACAATAGGGTCTGTTAAATACTTGAAGTTATTAATTCAATTATTTGATTAGATGTATTTTTATAGTAAAATCGTGTTTGTTTCCTGTGAGGTTATATTTTGATCTGTGATTGTGAATATCTTATCCACAATATGACGTACATTTCATAGGTACTTGCATAATGTCGATAGATAGGTAGGTAAGAAAATCAATGTCATAAATAATGTCATTTGAGAGTGGATGACGACAGCAGAAGGGTCGGAGATCTGTGTAAAATTTTCAGGGATGTAAAGTTATGAATATATGAATTTTGTCTTTTTTGTATTTTGGTCTGGAACTTAACTTTGCGGGTAGTTTTTCAGTACCTTCCCGGTACCCCAAAGGGAATCGGGTTTGTTGACGTACCTGCTAAAGTGCAAGGTCGGATTTGAAAATATTTGAGAAATGATTCAGTACTCGTTCAAAAAGATATTTATTCTTTCATTAGTTTCTTAACCCCGCCGTGTATTTGTCAGTAAGAAGCCTGGTCAGGGCGGAGAACTCGGCAGGGGATTATCCCTTTTATTATAATAGCAATAGCTGTGCTGATGGCAGGTACAGACTTTCATATTTGCCTCTTCCTCGTGGAATTTAAACACAATTTTATGTTAAATATTTTGCAGTTTAATTTTCTTTATCATGTTAGACACTCGTTTTTTACCAAATTTTCTTTTTTTGTTTATACATGGTTCAGCCATATAAACTTAGTTTGTTGTTACTACTTATATTTTCTCACATGATTGTTTCAAATAATCTGTTAAATTGTATGAATTATTTGAACACCAACAATTTAAAAAGACGAAATGCAGAAAAACAATGATTTTAAAAGTCACACTAATTAGTGTCATTTATCTTTCCTGTGCCGATTTTATTTATTACCGTACAACAACTTTACGTATTACATTGCATCGCTTATTACATAAACCCAATATTGTTCAAAATGAAATATGTTTTGTGAAACTCGGCTCGTAGTACCAATGTTTTTTGTAATCCAGTTGATACGACCATGATTGTATGGTTTTGATGAGTACCGAATTGTACTTTGATATTGCTCGAAGGACCTTTGTTTTGTTGTGTGCGAAATAATAGACAGCGTTCGGTTTCGATGTTTAAATACAGGACGGTTAGAGAAGTACTGAATTTACATTTGTATTTACAATATCAGGTAAGAATACTCAAAAGGGTCAGTGGCCGCTTCCGTAAATGGAACAAAATACATATTCACATTATGAAAAAATACAAAGTTAATGAAATTCGCGATTAGTTAGTATAATTGCCTAGATAAATACACCCCTACGAAATATTTTAACAATAATAAATTTAGTACATATTTACCTGAATTTTCGCAAAAGCCGTTGTTAGGCATTCCCTGAAGTCATTGTAGTTATCAGTTACTAATGCCATATTCTTGGGGTTTTCAGGTAAAAATAAAAAATAAGCCAATCGAAAATGTAAAGGAAAATTCTGAAAGTATTGTGACATTAGAGAAACAAAATTTTGTATAAATGGACGGAACAGCATTACGAACCTATTACTTGTGATTTGTCAGTGTAAAGTTACATACTTAGTTAGACAAACATTGTAGTGATTAGTGTTTACTATTTAGTCACCGTAGTATTTAGGTTAATTTAATAATTTTTAGAATAGTAAATACGTAAGTGGTAGACAGGTATATTCAGGAATATGGGGCATTCATTCCAAGTTAATTCTCAGCATTTTTGGTAACCGCAAAAGTAAAAAAAGACTAATTACTTTGATCACCTTGATATTTTTCAAGAGTTATAGTTTTCTCTGAAAATGGACTCTCGTTTTAGGCATTTTATTTTTTATTTAAAAAATTCATACTTTTTTTTTTTGAAAATGCAACATAGTGACTTAAACATTTTTATGTCACGAGCATGTATATGTATCGCACTGCTCTTAAAATTTTTTTCTGAAAACTTTCAGTTTCACAAATCCGGCCCTGTGCACTTACCGGTTCATAAAATTCATATATTTTTAACACAACTCTATTAAAAAATCAGAACGTTTTGGTGGTGAACCAAAATTCAAAATATTAAAAAAGGCAACAGAAGCCTGAGAAAATACCATACAGCGCCGATGTTTTTGTTATAAATTAATAGTAAGCATACATAGACAACACCGTCATGTATTTTATTTTAAATTTTAAATTAGAAATAGACGTTAATTTTGTCGAAGGCATTGTGTCAACAGAAAGATGTAAAAGTATTTCAAAAGAATATTGTTTATAAATAACATAGTATTATTAATAAGTGAGCTACCATTCTGCATTTAAGTTGATGCTTATGCAATTTTTTATGTGACGAAATATGTATTATTGTATACCTAATTTAATTCTGAGTATTAAAAAATTCAGTTCTAAAATATATTAAGCTTTTTTAAAAAAACAGGAAAAGTTATCTAGTTCTACAGTATTTCAAATAATTAGAAAGTACTTGAAGCATTTTCAGTACTTCAAGTATTTGTAAGTACTTGAAGTATACCTCCAGTACTTCAAGTACTCGTAAGTACTTGAAGTAATGTACTTGGCTTGTACTTCAAGTACATCTGAAAAGTACTTGATACTTGAAATACTCTTGCTGAAAGTAAGTACTTGGTACTTTACTTGAACACTATTTCAAGTAGTACTTTGTACTTGGTACTTCAAGTACTTTTTTTGAGTACTTTGAACAGCTCTGATAATGTTACAGAATGCCTGCTGTTAGTTCTAGGTACCAGAAAGGATAAAGAATTAGTTAAGGCCCTGCAATCAACTTGATTATTTAATAATTTATATAAAAAGACGATAACGCCGGTAACACGTCTACAAAATAATGAACTCATATCAAATTTTTCTAGTAGAGCTCTTTTGCGGATAATTTCTCGTTGGCCATGTTTTCTGTTCCTTAAAATAGAGGTACTTTAAAAATCTGCGCTGTATGTTCTCAAGGCATACTACTTGATAGTTGTAATAAGGAAACCAAGCTAACGCACAGTATTCTAATTTAGAGCGCACCAAAGCATAGAACAAAGTTTTCAAAGCTTGAATGCTAGTGAAATCTTTGCAGTTTCTAATAAGGAACCCTAGTGATCTTTTAGCTTGTGAAGTAATGCTCTCTGTTCTGCAAAACTGAACTTATTATCATACAAAACCTAAATCCAAAATGGAAGAGCATTTCTGTAAGCTGTGATGATTGATTTTGTAATCAAACTCGCATACATTAAGCTTGTGTGTGAACGAAATGATAAAAGATTTATTCTCATTTAAAGGTAAAAAGTTGAGCAATGACCAAGAAACCAAATTATTTATGTCTTTTTTAAGAAGCAAGGAGTCACTAATACCACGAATTTCACGGTATATTTTAATGTCATCTGCGAAAATGAGAACTTTTGAGTAGCGAATACAATCTAGCACATCGTTAATAAATAATGTGAATAGCAAAGGACCAAGAGTGGAGCCCTGCGGCACTCCAGCATCTGTGATGTAACTGTTGGACTTAAATCCATTTACTACCACAAAATTGTTACATATGTAACAGTAAATATATGTATATATGTGTGTAAATGATATACCTATTAAAACTAAATCTAAAACTGATATGGTCCCATCTTCCTCTAGAACAACTAGAAGTCAGACTATATTCAGAGTTCCGACGTCAACAACAAATATGAGTCGAAATCACCCAACAAAAAGGACGATGGAGGCAGATAATGAATACTGCAAGAAGGTTTCTTTATTTAATACAATTAGATTTCTATTTCAGCGCAAGATTGCAGTTCATTATGATGATCCTATTTTGTTAATTTAACACGAAAATGTTTTTTAGTTAATATGGTAGGGTATCTTTATAATCTTATTTTTTTTTTATTATTATTATTTATATTATTATTTCCATATGGATCAATTTATTGTTATGATACATTGTATGGGTAAAAAGGAGTTTTCCCGTTAATAAATTAAATTAAATTAAATTAATCGGAACTTGCCGAAACCGCTTTTTAAATCCATCGTGCTCTTGAAAAACAATGTTGGGCCGCGTGGAGTACGTCGTCGATACGGAGCAGTGGGTACCGATTAGCGCACAGTTAAATTATTTAACTTCCGGAACTCTACGCCATATCCGCCCGTCCTTTTGGGCACTATCACCACGGTAGTAGAGAAAGGAGAGTCACACTCCTCGATGATGTTGTCATTAATCATTTGCACCATCGTTGCGGTGACAACCTATACGGGGACGTAGAGATGGGCTGCGCACACGTCAGGTTAATGCAGTGTTTTGCAAACGGCGTCAATTACTCATAGCTCTTGAACACCTTGTTGCTTATAAGGAGTTCAGACACCTTACGCTTCTCGTAAGCAGACAGTTCCGTCCATTAATCTTTTCTGAGTGGTTCCATTTCCCCCGCGTCGACGGGTAGGCCTCGACCCACTGTTGACTCGTCGATCAACGAGGAACCAGCCTGGTGCATTAAAGCGCCACTTGATCTCTGGCAAATTCAAAATCATACCTGTTTGCTTAATAAATCCGTGCCGAGTAATGTCTTGCTGCTGAACTATTCTGGTATGGACGTCAGGGTGGTCAGAAAACGGCGTTCTTTCAACACAATTTCTACCTCAAAAATTTCCGTTATAACGTCAATTGGATTTCCGTCAGCCATGGTCATGACTGCATACTGCACGACTGGGTATCCCCATCTTCTTCAGATGCTGGTACAACTTATGACCAGCCATATTCTGCTTCGTCCTGGTGTTCACAAATGATAGTCCTTGTTTATCAGCAATCGACACTGGCAGGAAGGCTCGATATCCACCATCGATTAAGGGGCTTAGTCTCAAACCTTTCGAGTGGAGACGTATACGTCTCACCGGTGACTCGACTCACATTCGACTGGAATGCCGAATCGGTATTCTTGAGAAAAATGTGCCATAAGAATAATTTAACATGAAACAAAGAAGCAAGTTTTCAGATTTGTTTATAAGCAAAGGTCTAATTCTTACATATACAACTTTACACTGAAATATATACAATAATAAAAAATTGGTCTAAAGAGTTTAGACAGTACTTCCCTCGCTGTCGGAAACTTGACGACTGCATGCCTATTGTGTTTTTTTTTCTCATTACATTTTTGTAGTGGGAATTTAAAAAAAAAATGTGATGACGTCATCAACATTTTTGCAAGGACACGTATATCAGTTGGGATAGATGTAGTGTAATACTAAGAATAAAATTATTGTATTCCCAAATTTTCGGGAAAATGAATTGGGTCGTTTTGAATATTGATTTCTTATAATCAATAAAATAACGAAACAATTTACTCACGTATACGGCGCCGGTGTGTAATATCTAGAGAGCGGATTTCTGTCGGGCTAGGCAAGGCCAAACTCGGTACGGCTCGTACGGGATGCGAATTCATTGAGGTTGCGGACTGCACTTCGTTTATTTGAGATTAGAATAACGCTGTTTCGTTGCACTCTGCTGTTAATTCCCGTTCTCATTTATTTAGCCGTTTGATTAATAAATCGTCAATTATATTTATGGAATTAGTACTGATTAAATTCAGTGATTATCTATCACCCGGCGATCCAGCACGTCCCCCCCTATAATCGTGACTTAGCCCGACAGAAATCCGCTGTCTAGTAATATGAGGGGCAATTGAAAATCGTTTATGTATAAACATTCTTAATTTAAGATGACAAGCGTAACAGCATACGTGAGAGTCAAACAGAGAAACTGTAAACAAAACGACCATCGGTTTTATTGCTTCGACTTCCGCTTATTATATAAAACATTGGGTTTTATTTTAATTCTTGACGGTGAAATTCACAATTGGTTGATTATAAACATGCCTATTCCACATTCGCGGAACCAAGTGAGCGCATAAAACAAATGCAGGTCTGTAATGTTAAAGTCGATGTAAATAAGCGTGCTACCCTTATGTTTCAACCGAGTTTTTCCTTTAACAAATTTTATGTCTACCAAATTTGGTTGGTTGGGGTATAATACTAATAATAAGTGTTGCCTTTAATTTAATCAATAAAATAAATTGACTTCATTAATTTTTTTGAACCACCTCTTAAGAAAATCTAAAAAATATGAATGGAATGATAAATCACAAGTACAAACTCATCATATTTTTTGCATTTTAGATAGGATTTATTCAGCAAAAGTTAAGGGTGACGTCATCAATTTTTTTAGGAGGGACCCTAAAAAACCTGCATATGCAAATCCAAAAATATGAATGGAATGATAAATCACAAGTACAGACTCATCATATTTTGTACATTTTAGATACGATTTATTCGGCAAACTTTTGAGCTGACGTCATCAGTTTTTTGTAGAAGATAACCAACTATATTTTGACTAAAAATTGATTATGCTCTTTATAACCTTAAAACATCTGCAAGATTTCAAAGCATTCAGTTTTGTAGTTCCTGATTAAATCAATAAAATAAATTTACGCATTCATTAATTTTTTTGAGTCACCCTGTATATGCAAATCCAAAAAATATGAACGGAGTGATAGATCACAAGTACAGACTGATCATATTTTGTACATTTTAGATATGATTTATTCGGCAAATTTTCGAGCTGACGTCATCAAGTTTTTGGAGGGGATAAGCAAATATATTTTGACTAAACATTTATTATGCTCTTTATAACCTTAAAACATCTGCAAGATGTCAGAGCATTCCGTTTTGTAGTTCCTGATTAAATCAATAAAATATATTTACGCATTCATTAATTTTTTTGAGTCACCCTGTATATGCAAATCCAAAAAATATGAATGGAGTGATAAATTACAAGTACAGACTCATCATATTTTTACAGTTTAGATAGGATTTACTCAGCAAACTTTCGAGCTGACGTCATCAATTTTTTGGAGGGGATAAGCAAATATATTTTGACTAAACATTTATTATGCTCTTTATAAACTTAAAACATCTGCAAGATTTCAAAGCATTCGGTTTTGTAGTTTCTGAGTAAATTAGTAAAATAAATTTACGCATTCATTAATTTTTTTGAGTCACCCTGTATATGCAAATCCAAAAAATATGAATGGAGTGATATACCACAAGTACAGACTCATCATATTTTGTACATTTTAGATATGATTTATTCCACAAACTTTTGAGCTGACGTCATCAAGTTTTTGGAGGGGATAAGCAAATATTTTTTGACTAAAGATTTATGATGCTCTTTATAGCCTTAAAACATCTGCAACATTTCAAAGCATTCTGGTTAGCAGATTAAAAATTAAATTTCAAAATGTTGTTTTATAATTTTGATTTTTTTTCCAAAAATCTGGACGTTTCGGGTGAAAAGTCGATTCGGAGTTGTAAACTACATGTGTAGGACTATGTTATTTTATACAATTGAAAACCCATTTACTATGTACAATTTTGAAGTGACGTCATCGCATTAGTGGTGGGGATGATTAGACAAATTTTGGTTAGCGTTTTACCATCAACATGATATTCTTAATATAAGTACAAAATTTCACAACAATCGGTCGAGTACTTTCGGAGATTATCTGTCTAATAAAAATCCGGGACGGCAGACGGACAGACGGACGGACAGACGGACGGACAGAGAGACGGAAATGGGAGACCTATTTCTTCGTCTTCTAGGGGTCATGAAAGATCGAGAAAACGTAGAAGTAGAGAGTCGGCCGACGGACTCGATTACAATACTTCCTTTGCTTACGCTCGGGAAGTAAAAAGAAAAGGATTGTTTAACAAATCATAAAACTAGTTATTGTCACTGCCAATTCTTCGCACAGTTGGGCCATCCTCGACTTTTCGGAAAATACATGAAAAAATAAATAGGAGTAATTTTTAATAAAAATGTTCACCTCATAAACAACATATTTTTGTACTTACATTGCGGTAAGGGATAACAAAATGCCATGTCAAAACCGTTTCCAATGATGTTCTGGTGCCAAAAAATCACACCCAGATCGGCTCTTCAGAAGTGCGAATTCTTACCATAAACATTTTTGGTCAAACTTCATTGATTTCTGAATCTGCTGACAATAACAACATCTCGAATTCTCCTTCTTTCTGTCAGGAATGGATCTACATGGCGGGCTACTTGTGCTGCGACTGCATTTTGATGCTCTACATTGAAAATTACTGCAAATATGGAAACAGTTAAAAATAAATTTTTAATGTATTTCAATCTAAGTACCATCAGCATCGTTATTTCCTTCGTTTAGATCTGGTATGTTTTGCTGAATGCATAGCTTGTCTAAAACAACACACACATTCACAATATGATCAGCTCGTTATGGAGAATAGTGTAAAACCCGATGTTTCAATAGGCATCTGAACCTAATTTTTAAATCTCCATGACACCGTTCAGTAATGGTCCTTAACACGTTTAGGGGTGTCAAAAGCCAGAATCCCCTAAAGAAATATGAAGAACAAGTGTTCAAAAAATTAGATATGTCCTTAATGAGTAAAAAGTGCCACGTATTTCTTCATAGATTCTTCTCATTGCCGGCAACACATTAGAATTATTCCAAATGAAAAATCGTGTGTACTTCCTGGGTGCGAAGCATTTAATTACATAGCATTTAAAATTCGTAGATGTGAATTGCAGATCAGTTGAAAGATTAAACAATGGTATCCTGTACGATTGATGTAGATGTGGCCAGGTCGATCAGGATTGTCAGTTGGGGCCGCAACAACCCCAGTAACATTTTATATGTAATAAATATTGAAGTTCTGACATTTAAATAATATGGGTAACGACAGATTTTTTTTTAGGAAATCAATATTGGTTTTAAATATTGAATATATATTTATTTTCAATGTTTAATACTTATTTAGTTCAGAACATTTAATAAATGTTCTTCATGTGAAAGGGGGTATGGATATAAAAAAACTTGTATGGAATACAATATAAAATTTATTAAACACAAAAATACATTGTCACTGGAAATAACAGTGTATTTGAAACGTTGCGGCAATATTTATACATTTAAAAATTATTTGTCCTAGAACCA